TTGCTCCTAGTAGCGATGCCCTTTGCTCCTAGTAGCTTCTTGTTCCTAGTAGTAAGGCCAGGAGCCCCTAGTAGCGTCCTTGCTCCTAGTAGCAATGCCCTTTGCTCCTAGTAGCTTCTTATGGGATGATTTGCTTCATGGCTTTCTGGTGTGATCCCTAGAGCCCTGGATGAGGTGCAACGGTTTCGTGGCATACAGTCTATCAAATCAGAAGCTAAATTGAACGTATGTAACCGTATGTGCCTTCCAAGCTTCAAAACATGGTTTTTGTAACTGAACAGCTTGGACTGCAAGAAGAAGCTGCTCAACGTGCCCCTTGTGACATGTAATTAATGTTATGTGCACACACATATATGATTATATAACTCTATACAAATAGAGAGAGGGAGAGAGATTGATGTGCGACTGTGCATGTTTCTTGTGTTCCTCCCCAGGGCGGGGCTTGGGGAGAGATGACCAGCACGAGTTTCCTTGCTGAGCTAGCCATAGCCATAGCATGCCATAGCCATGAAGATAAACGCGCGGCAGCTGAATGGAAGAGCCGATGAGATCAGTGTCATGCCGGACGTTCCACCTCAACAGCAGGACGTTTCCTGCATGGAACCGTAAGATTACTACTGAATAATACTTGGGTCAATGTTTTGATTGAATCCACTGTAACGTGCGCATGATGTGTTTTGTTTTAACACTCTACGTGCACAACCGCTTTGCGCGGGTCGATTTCGCTTCGTCAACTCACGGGGCAATGGGTCACCATACGTCACAAATTGAATCGGACAAACCCACTTGACTCATGACTAGTTTTCACAAAGCAAACATGAAAATAATGTTGGCGGGTTCAGAGCGAGGGAAGAGGATGGTGTGGGCAAGTTGGTGTGTGTAAGTTGGGTGAGTTGACGTGTGTGAGTAGGTTTGTGTAAGTTGGTGGGGCGAAGTTGGTATGAGTGGGGCCTGCTCACCAGCGACATGCCGCGTATATGGACGCATGTTCCCGTTTCCCAACGGCATGGAGCCACGCAGCCACGCACTTGCCACCGAGACCACGCCAAACCGCATCGCCAACAGAGCAGCCCAGCGCAAGGGAGGAGCGGCGCGACCGAACCCGACCCCCTCAACAAGACCTTCTACAGGGCAGCAAAACGCCAGGAAGGTGAGTTGGTGTGCGTTAGGTGGTGAGTTGGTGTGAGTCTGAAAAAAACAAGTGTGTGTACGCCCTGGAGTCAAGGGTAGCCCGTTGGCTTCTCTATTTAAATGCAGGGGGGCGCGATACCACCACCAACGAAGCTGGGTGATATCGCGGGATGTGGGACCTGGCCAGTCCCGTGTATACCTGCATTGGCTGCGAGTGTTGTTGCGAAAGGCTCACGCATTGTCAGGCTTTAAGGCTCACCAGTGCCAGTCATCCTGGGAATCAAAAATCCAACTGATTCCAACTGTGTTCGCGGAAAACGTCACACCAATGTGCACAGACCACCAATCCGTTGCACCCTTGAAACATTTTGTGGATGAATGGCAGCAGGCGTGATGATCATCAAGCTGCTATTCTCACTCCATTTACTTAGGCATCTTGCTTAAGCAAGATTTCTTCGTGGCATGCTGCATCCCGACAGCACGCATCATTTCCCAAGTGTGAGTTGGTGTGAGTGAGTTGTGGGTGTGGGATGGTGAGCTTGGTGTGGGCGATGGCTCGATGATGCAGTAAAAGTAAGAACCCCACACTAGCGGCTACTGTAGCACGTGGGAAAAACAGAGGCAATGTCTATTCCCCACCTGTCAGGTGAGGGTTGTTAGATTTTATGTCAGCCCCATCTCCTCCTTCTCCTTCTCCTTCTCCTCCTTCTCCTTCTCCTCCGCCTCCTCCGCCGGACCTCAACCACGACCATCCACGCCCAGTGTTCCCTGCCGGACCTCAACCACGACCATCCACGCCCAGTGTTCCCTGCCGGACCTCAACCACGACCATCCGCGCCCAGTGTTCCCCGCCGGACCTCAACTGCGAGCTCCAGGCATTTTTTTCTGCCGGACCTGAACCACAGCACACAACCGCAACCACAATCACAAACACATAACCACAAACACAACCACAAACACACAACCACAAACACATAATCACAAACACAACCACGAACACACAACCACAAACACACAACCACAAGCACACAACCACAAACACACAACCGCAAACACAACAACAAACACACAACTACAAACACAACCACAACACACAATTACAACACGATCACAGCACACAACCACAAACACAATCACAAACACGCAACCCACAAACACAATCACAAACACACTACAAAACACAATCACAAACACGCAACCACAAACACAATCACAAACACACTACAAACACAATCACAAACACGCAACCACAAACACACAACCACCAACACAATCACAAACACGCAACCACAAACACAATCACAAACACATAACCTCAAGCACAACCACAAACACAATCACAAACGCAACCACAAACACACAACCACAAACACACTACAAACAAAATCACAAACACGCAACCACAAACACACAACCACCAACACAATCACAAACACGCAACCACAAAAACAATCACAAACACACAGCCACAAACACAATCACACACACGCAACCGCAAACACGTAATCACAAGCACACAACCACAAACACAACCACAACACACAACCACAACACACAATTACAACACGATCACAGCACACAACCACAACGCGCAACCGGAGGATCTGAGTTGTATTATTAGTTGGGCACAGGTCTCCTGATGAAAGCATTCGCTTCGGACAAAACCGTAAGACTTGGCGCTGAAGGACTTGTGCTATGGGCTGAAATACACAACAAGGGTCAGGGTGATGTCAACGGAAATGTCATGGTGGGGAGCACTCGAAGTAAAGTGATTGGATGAGTTCATTTTTTCTTCGGCTAACTTCAGGTGATTCATCGAGAGAAACCGTTTCACGATGGACGTGGTGGGCACACCGTGTGGTCCATGGAACCGACTCCGGCTTGGAACCGACCCACTGATAGCTGATAGCTCTTCGGAACCCAGTCATCCGAACCAGGTGGCACTGGTTCGGCCATCGCATGAGATGTCACTGTTCCCCCCCATTCTCATTCGGAGAAAGGTAGAAAGGTAGACATCCCACAGCTCCCAAGAGATCAGCCATGATCGACTTTGGCTTCCACAGCCTGCTCGAGGAGACCACCATCCGGAACTTCATAGGAGGCAGCTGAAAGAGTGGCTGCGATGCGATGATGAGGTCACACACCAGTTGACCACGGTCCAGGTGGTCTTTGAGTTGCAAAAGTTACAAAAAGACGAACAAACACTGGCCGAGGCAGGCATTTGTTCTGGCGCAGAGGTGGGCAGGGTGATTGGATTGAAAGGGCCTAACTCTTGGGGGTTGAATCAATAGTTCTACCATTTCCATGTTTGGTCCTTTGACTCTTGTAGGTGCAGATCCTCTTCAAGGCAGTGGGGCCAGTGGAATGCGAAGGCCAACATGAATCGGGTCATCCAAAGAGCACCTTGGTTTGTGTCAAGATCAGCTCGGTGACTTGGATCAGAGACTTTGCATTCGCCAACTGCACGGGCTTGATGAAGGTGGACATACCTGACACAGTGACTCACATTGGAAGATTTGCCTTCAAGAACTGTCGCTCTTTGACAGAGGTGACCATCCCCAAGTCTGTGACTTTCATTGCAGAGAATGCCTTCAGAGAATGCAGATCGCTGGCACAGTTGACTATCCCGGACTCTGTGACCATCATTGGGTATGGGGCCTTCGCAAACTGAAGCACTTTGAGGGAATGACCATCCCCAGCTCCGTGACCGAAATTGGAGATAGTGCTTTCAGAGGCTGCACATCTTTAGAAGAAGTGACAATTCCGGACTCTGTGACTTACATCGGAAAGAGTGCCTTTTTTGGCTGCAGTTCCTTGCGAGAAGTTGTGCTCGAGGAAGAGTGGGTCGTTATTGGTATCGACGCCTTTGAGTGGTTTGTCACTGTGGTTCCCAAGCACAAGAGGCGAAGGCGTGAGGCACCATTCGCGACAGAAAGAAAAGATAGAGCATGCGCACGTTTGCCTATGGATTCAAACACACAATGCAAGTGGAACAGTCATGAGCACGGAATGCGTTCGTCCCAAGAGCAACTAAGTTTGCGGAAGTAAGGTTTCACAGTGATACAAAGTATCGACAGACTGGAAGACAAAGTGAGGTCTTGTCATTGGGGGGAAAGCCCACATGCGACCAACGACTGCTACCTTTGGGTCAAGCAGGTCGGTGTGAGGGTCAGGGTTGGTTGCTGGACAAAGAGTTAGTTCAAGCATGTTCAAAACAATTCGGCAATTTAATTCATTACTACACTAGAGGTGGTTGATGAAATGTGTAAAGTTCCCACTCCACTGTTGGAAGATATTGAAAGTCGATTTCCTCGATTCTTAGCGCGCAAATGGCATCCACCGATCCGCATCGACAGACTCGGTACAGACTGGTCGGCATGGAATTTTGCCAACAGAAGTTACTTGCAAGAAGGACATCGCTCGGCGTGTTTCTGTTTCTTCTTGTTTTGGCCACCTGGAACAGGTCAGCAGTACGGTCACCAGGAGCGCAGGACTAGCACCCACAGCAAAAACAAAGAGCACCACAGCACCATCCATGCTGGACGCTGCTTCGCTATGATGATGGGACCTCGAGTAGAGACAAGAGAGCCTCAAAACTACAGGGAGGCAGGGGGAGAAGTAGGTTAGAGGCCATTGCTTCTAGGTTGGAGGCAGAGGCCATTGCTATTAAATTAGGTTGGAGGCCATCGCTACAGGGAAGCAGGGGGAGTTTGTGTTGTGGGGAGGAATGCAGTGGAGATGGCCCATGAGATCCAAACGCATCAAGATGAGATCCAAACGCATCAAGATCTAGTGACCAAACGTGCTGCTTCCAGTCCAATATCGGAGTCTTTGTGCCTTTTGAAAAAAGTCCTAATATAACTGAACCTTCCTCTCATGCTTATGAGAACAGAATATACACCAAATTAGTGCGAAGCACTGGCCCGAGTCATTCGGAGTCTATTTTTTGCTTTGCAAACCTGCAAAAAAGGGTACCGGGTAGGAAAGTGACTTGCCTTGAAAGACAGAGACAACTACTGTTTTCCTTCATGTAGCCTCAAAGCCGTGAAATAAAGCTGTTGAGTCTGTGGGCGGTAGCCTTGCGCCCAGGCAACACAAGTAGGCGACACCCCCGCATAGGTCTGAAATGTTTGCAGTTACAAGTTGGAATCGTCCTTGTTTCAACCGGTGTTTTCGAAATCGGCACTTCTCCACCCGCTTTGGTCACTCTCACCCGAAGCCGCAGGGGACGTGATGACGACCTGTCCCAGCTCGCCCCGGCGAAGCTTCACACGGGCCGCCTATCGCTGTCAGTGCTTGGAGCGGACTTTGCAGGATGAGACCTTCCCAGCAACTGGGAGGAAAACATGGACTGGCACTGGGCGATTTTTGTTTGAATATCTTACTGTGCATTTGTTGGGGGAAATCTTTCAACTGGGGACTGGGGATGTTGGTGGTGTTTAATTAAAACGTCAGGAAGTATAGTTCAAACCATTCCATACTTCTCATGGGCTTATCTCGCCCAAAGCTTTCGGACGACACGTACAGCCGTATGGACCGTATAGAGAGCATCGATGCCAGTGATCGTCATTGTATAATACGTCCATGCTTGGGCAAGGCAGAAAGTGGCAGAAACTTGGTGGGGATCCAAATTTGTTCGACCGAACACCTCCGGGTGCGCCACCGTTTCCTGCGCTGTGCTTCCAGCGCTTCGGTCGATGCGAAGGCGCAGGGCGACAGGATGAGACCGTCCGTGGCACATGCCGAGGTGAAAGTCGTCGCCTTCGACTTCGATGAGACCTTGAGCCTTCGACTCGGTGCAGCTGTAGACCTAGTAGGCTAGCAGATAGAATATGGATGAGCACAAAAAGATCCAAAAGCCAATCGGAAACTCGTCACCTTTGCGAACTGATTCTTATTCTATCTGCTCCAGGATGGGTTCAACTCGGTATAGCCATCCTCCGACAAGCAAAGAACCCGGGCAGGTTCACTTTGTAGAAGAAGAGCGTCTTCAAGAGGGGCCTGTTTCGCTCGAATGACTGTTTGACATGAAAGTCTAGCATTGGGGGCAATGCAGGTGCCGACATGGCTGAACTCCAAGAGTTTTTGGATGCTTTTGGTGAAGACTTGTCACTGCATGTTGATTTGGAATGATTTGGACATTTGAAGCCAGTCGCATCCAGTCGCGGCAGGCCATCTCACTCCCAACCCATCATCAGGCCAATTTTGGTGGTAGAACAATTGGTTGATCGCAGACGAATTCCTTGTGGGGGCAAAGTCATTTTCCCAGCTGTTTGTTGGTCTCCACGTCAAGTGTGTGGTGCTTTGTGTTTTTGAGAGTTGAAAAGCAGACCTGAGACCAAAGAAGCTGCATAAAAGGTGGCCATGGGATTTGCCTGGCTATAGACATTGCATGCAAATCAGATAAACATGCCCCATTTCTGCACTACGACCAAGGACTTTGATAACTTATTTGATCGAGGATGGCGACTCTGAAGAAGTGCAGACCCTTGGTAATTTCACTTCGAACCCCAGAGGATAGCAAACTAATTATATATTTGGAAATCTCAGCATCCCTAGCGGTAGCGTCCTAGTATGTCCTAGTGGTCAGAGAATCCCGAAGTCACGAACCACTGCTAGATGATGGCGCTTGAATTAAATAAGACCACCGATGCTATTTGTTTACAGCTTGTGCGGCAAATCTCTTCGTGTGCCATCTATGATGAGATTCCAAAACAGTGCTAGGATTCCAAGAATCGTGCCTCGTTGTTGAGACAGCCGTGTGAAGCAGTGCTTTGTGTGGGCCACCCATCCCAGACATCCCAAATCCGCGTTTTGGTTTGGCACCGTCCCGTGCTGCTCGCCATAGGAAGCAAATCGTGAAGACCAACTTCCAAACGCCTTGGGTCAAAGGGCATCTCGGCACCCGGAGAGCTGAGAAGTGAGGATGTTGGGGCGAGGAAGGAGTACAACCCCTTCCGATTGGAAGCAGCGACTTGTTGCGCAGTGGGTGAGTCTTGTCGTGGACAACTGCACCAGGAAGATTCACACCGACAAAATTGAGCAACCCTTTGCCATCCTTTTCCTAGCTATGCATAGAAACAACATATTAGAGAGAGGGAAAGAACACATACAGTTTATATCAGTCCATATTTCATGTATATAATGCTTGGCCGTAAAGATCACGGTTGCCTAGGTTTAGGATTCTGCTGTCCTCGAGCACCCCGCGGCTCGCTTTCCGCCTCCAAGGAGCCGCATTGAGCATCTCCAGAGCACCTCATCGGAGCTGAGCCCGGTGGGCCGTGGTTTCTTTCGCCTCATCGGAAAGGCTCAAAACGACCTCCGGCACTTAGCAGGAACATAGAAGTTTTTGGCAGAGATCCCCATCTATGATGCAGATGTCCATCTTTAGATGACTCTTTTGACGATCCAGCAAGAAAGGAACCAAAGAACAAGGAAGCCACAAACAAGCTTTCCCGTTGTTCGTCGCCTTTCCACGGAGGAACATGGATGAACACCGAATGGTCCACACACCGATTCCGTTCCGTTGGTTTCACACATGTTGCGACGTCATGGTGAACCAACGGTTCGTAACTCAGGACATGACATCACTCTTCCGTTCCAAGAGAGGCTGCATGGTCTGATCGATGCTCACCGTTTGATCCTCTAAATCCCAAATCGGCACGGCACAGTATGAAAAATAGGCGCGAGGCACGATGCTCACGTTGAGCAGGTTTCAGCCACATCGTTTCACGGGACCGACCGTGTGTCACCGACCGATGGGCCCAGGTATGCTGAAGGCTTTGGCGATCTCCAAGTCTGGGAAACGTCGAGCGTTAGCAGTGCTCACGTGTCTTCGGCGGAAGGGCCGGCGGAAGGGCGAAAGCGCTTTTGAGAGAAAGGGGCCCCTTGTTCCATGCGGAAGGTACGCTGAATGAGAATCCACATGCTCCGAACTTCGGTAGTTGTTTTCTGAGTTCACATGGCTTCACACCTGTGACTAGAGATGCCGACCCACTCCACACAGCTTCGCTTCTTACGCACCGAAACCTACATAATTCATGCAAAAGACATTTAAATATGTGTAAATTTAAATATCATATATATATATATAAATGAAAATAAATGAAAAATATAAGATGACAAATACCGTGGGTCGTCCACTCAGGAAGAACTATGCTGGTGCCAAGGCGGTGCATAATCTTCTCCACGTCTCGGGCCTGGCGTCGTGTCTCGGGCGTGCCGACGAGTCGGGTTCAGGACGGAGGTGAGAAGTGGAGGACGAGATCTCGCAGGGTACGTCCCAAAGCAACATGATCATGATACAGACTTTCAGATGCTCTGAAGTGAGAGAGAGACCGTAGGGCCGTAGGATATTGAAGTTCTATCATGTTTGCTTCTTTTTGGGGGGGGAGTCTCAGAGTTATGTAGAAGTGTTCACTTTGTGGTTGGATATGGTCTGAGTTTCCTAGCAGATCACGAAAGCTAGCATGCTAGCTGAGTTCTTCTTTGCTTTAGCAATGTTGTGGTGGGAGGGGCTGCGTGCCTTAAAGATTGATATATCAAGCTAACCCCCCCCCCGCGGTTCAACTCCCAGCTGCGCCGTGTAGGGGGTTGGTTGAACGTGTGAACGTGGTTGGTTGGGTGTAACGGTGGCTTGGTGTAAAGGGTGCTGCTGCTGCCGCTCTGCTGCTTGCTGCTGCTGTTTGCTGCTGCCGCTGGTTGCCGCTTTTGTAGCTGCTGCTTTGCTACTTGTTGCGGCTTGGTGCTGCTGCTGCTGTTGCTGACGACGCCGCTGCTACTGCTGCTTGCTGCTTGCTGCTTGCTGCTGCTTGCTGCTTGCTGCCGGTGGTGCTTGCTGCCGGTGGTGCTGCTGCTGCTGCGGCTTGATGCTGCGCTGCTGCTGCGTGGTGCTGCTGGCTGGCTGCTGGTTGGTGGTTGCTGCTGGCTGCTGGCTGCAGGCGGCTGCTGCTGCTGCTGCTGGCTGCTGCTTGCTGCATAGGACTTGTACTTCACCGTTATAAGTTGTTTACCCCTATCTCTAACCTAATGCATGCATAAGCGGGTGGTAAATTTACCCCCCAGGCTTGCTATAACCATACACCGGCTATTTCCTCAAGACACTCTATTCTTGATACCTTTTACCAGTGCTTATCCTACACTACGGACGCCCTAGTGTAT